AATGAAAGGTGGAAGGAATGACCTAGCTGCTCTAAGGTCAGTTTAAGAAGAAAAAGGTGAATTAGAGCTAGAAAATAAACCCTTGAACTTTCTGGCCTTTCAATTCACCTGCAGAATTGCATAGCCTGGGAAGCTTATGAAACAAAATCATTCAAGAGTAAGGAAATCAACTGTTAAAGTCATTCAGATCTGACAGAGATTTTGGAAAAAGCCAACTGTATCAGGGCTGTGTCAGACAGGGGGTACACAGGGCTAGGCATTGCCTTGCTCCTGCCTCCTCACCTTTACTTTATGGCACAGTATATTGACAGGTAGCCTCCAACTTTGGCATCTCTCACTCAAATAAAGAATTCTCCAACAAAGAGGTCATTGCACAACATCTCCTGTGGACTGAATTTGACCGTCCTATTATTTGAGGAGCAGATCACCCGGGAACTGAGCAGCCTGGTGAGGGCATCTCCAGTGTCAAGAGCTAAATGCTGTTCTCTTAACAAACATTTCCTAAAAAAAAAAATCAAAAAGCAAACCAACCCAAACCAAAAAACTCCCAACTCCTTCAGGGCTGCAGTCTCTGGTTTAAGGGAAACTAGTGCAAGCTTAAGTTTGAATCCAACATTTTGATAAGTTCCTGGTAGGGAAGACAAAAACAGGTATGCTGCTAACCTAGTATGCTGCTTATAGCTGTAGTGAATGCATCTGAGTGCTCAGGGAAAGTATGTGAGGATTTTTTCTCTTGCTTTCCCTGCACAGCAAGGCACAGACACAGCTTTCGAAAAAAAAAAAACCAACAAATTGAATATTTGTTCTTTGTTATCTTACTAAACTCTTCTGTTGACTTATCTTCCTGCTTTGTAAACATGTCAGGAGCTTTGACACACCATAGCAACAATATCTGAAGTTTAAAAGTGAGATTGTTTGCAAGCATGTGATCAGGTTTGAGAGGAACCTGCAGTCCCTAGGTAAAATGATGTACAATCATTTTACACACTATTCAGTTGAATCAGAACAGCCCATAATAACTATTTCCAGACAGAGCATTTGTTTTGGGTTTTCAGCCCAAAATACAGTAAAAGATGTTTTTGTGTTGTTTTTTTTTCTTCTGAAAGTGCAAAATGACTCATTTATGGCTGGTGATTTTTTGTATTTTTATGACTTCCCATTGGTCACTCACAGTCCCTTTTTCTAGTCATTATGGCCTCTGAAACAGGAGGAAATTTCCAGAAAAGCACCTGAACAATTATTTGGCATTATGTACTTGGGCAACCTGTAATCTGCTGAGTTGATTTTCTGGGTCACTGGCGGCTGGAAGGGTGAACATGGAAAAGTACTGCAGGACTTCACCGTATGCAGGGAGCAAAGCAGTAGTTTTTTGTTTGTTTGTTTGTTTGTTTTAAGTAACTCAACAGTGCTGCAACGTGTACACACCCCTTCAGATAAGGTCTCCTGCAAATGCCAACAGGAGCAATGAAAACCATAATTCATGATGACAAATGGTTTCTACTTAGCAGGTTCCTTTCACATGTCGCCAAATGCTTGCATTTCCTCTGCTGTGGAAAATGTCATACCTCATTTCTTAATTGCTCTAGCCTGACCAACTGGCGGGGCTCTTAGACAAAATAAGAAGAGAATTCTTGTTCCAAGTACTCTTTGGTGTCTACCCATGCTTGGGCTGGCAGGGGTTGGCAGTGCCTGACAGTGCTCTCTGGGAGAGTTCTGATGCACAGGGGGTGCCTGGAGGGCAGGCTCCTGGCAAGAGTGACCCTCAGAAACTGCATACAGAGAAGACAGCTCAGCATGAAGTTGTCCTCACGCATAGAGGACAAGGCAAACTGAACTGAACACTGCTGCTAAACAGGGGCTACAACTGTCCCTCCTTCTGCTCATTTGTTTCCTGGGTGTAAGAGGCCGTAGCTGTGAATTCATGTAATTTTGGGGAAAATCCAAACCGTACAGTACTTCATTTGTGTTTGTCTACCACAGCTGTGACAAGCAGAGAACATGTTCTTCACAGCTTTGAGTATAATGCCTGGCTTTGATTGCTAAAAACCACAGATATCCTGTGTAGGCAAATACACACAGGTAGAAGCAGAAAACCTAATCCAAAGTAGTCATGCTTTGAAATTGAATGGATGTAAGAAGAAGAGGTGAGATTTTAAATAGTCACTTGTCACTACTGTTTGGAAAACCTCAGTGACAAGCAGTCAAAACCTTCAAGCAGTCTTTGCTCTCTGTGTAGCAAAGTGAAATTAGATTGTCACCAATGCTATCCTCAGCAGGCTGGCTGTAGAAAATTAATTTAGGATTCATTACAGTGTAATACAGTATGTGTAGGAAACAGACTTATAGAGGCATGTCATGGAACCTGTCCCAAGTCAAAGTGTATTAGACGTGATGCCAGGTCTTGGCATGTGTAAGGCCTGAGTTTCTCTGAGTATCAGTGGCAGACTCTTTCTTATTTCCATGCAAAAACGAAACAGGAGAGTTTTTTTTGTTTTCTCCATATTGTTTTCTCCTGCAGGGAAACCAGAACAGGGTCCACGGTCTCATGCCCACGGCAGTGACTACTTGCAAAGCATCTCAGTGAGTCTAACAATACCGTAATATGCCTTGGCACACCGCACTCCCCTGACTATGGAGTGCTTGTTTGCTCCCCAGTGACCATGGTGTATGAAGTGCACTCAGCCTGGGACCTTGCCTAACACCCTGCTGTTTTAAGAGACACACAAGTCCTCAGAAAGTGCAGCTTTTCGCTTTGTTAGTGCATACACCTTTCCCAAGGCTGTGATGCTGTTTATCCTATTCCTATGTCCTATTCCTATTCCCCCGAGTGAAGAACTGTGCACCAGCTGCTTCGTCTGGTGCCAGGCAGGGCAGCTGAGGAGACAGAGTTTACTCACCCCCTCCCCACCATCTGAGCGAACAGTGAGTTTTCCACTTGGTTTGCCTCATGGTGTCACAGGTAATAGAGGTTACCTCTCCTTTGTAGCTTGCCTGCTGCTCTTTACATCACTGGGGCTATAACAAGCCTCCTTTTGAACAGACATTTACCTTAGCAGCTGGGGCACACACATGCTGCAATCTGTCCAGCCAGCAAGGGAGGCTCACAAGTACAGTGCTTGTTGCTGGCATATTCCTGCATTGATTCCTGATATAGGAACCCATGGGATCAGTATTTTGTGCATTTTCAGGCTGGTTGGTTTAGGCATTTTTTGATGGCACCTTTTTACTACAGGGACTCCACTGCCAAGTGATTTTCTGTGTCTTCACAGAGGAGACAAGAACCTTTTTACATTATCCAAGATTAACAATTCAGGTGACTCTGGATGTTTTTTAAAACACCATGAGTGCAGTTTGCAAGACCATGAGCCTAGGACAGGCCATTAGTTCTCTGAACTGATTAACATCTAGCTTCTGTACTGTGTGCAGAGATGTAAGGAAGAAAAGCTTTTTTTCTGATAGGAATGAACATTTAGAATACTACTTTTCTATTGCGGACAATCAAAAGAGAAGACTGGAACTAAATTTTTTGTAATGGAAATTGATATAATGTAGATAAAGTACTTTAAAAATGCCAATTTCCTCAATTTCACATTCATATGTAAAAATGAAACCCAAATGAAAAATGGTTTTATATAACTCCTCATGACTGACTGACTTTGAATATGTACAGTCACAGCCATAAGGCTAGAGAGTCCCCTTTATCACTCCCAACCTTCAAAATGCTGAAAGAAAATACCATCAGAAAAAGAAGGGCTGAAGCAAGATCTTTGGAGCTGAGACACCTCAGCTAAACCCAGAATCGCTTCCTGAAATTTATTTGAAATTAGCTGCAGGAAATCTCTGCTCTTTCATTCGTGTAGAGGACTTTGAGAATATTGATCTCCTTCCAGTTCAATGAAGTTGGTAACATTTCAAAACAGAAAGCTGCTTAGCCTGTCTGAGTGGCTGCTGCCTGCTTGCAGGAGCACCACAACTGACTGGACATGCCACTTGTATGGCATGAGCTGAAGGATCACACTTTCAGGATCCTGCTTACCTCTACAGGGAGAGCACCTGGTGTACTACACATTTTTAGAAAGATTGTGAGAGATTTAGAAGCTTTGAGCATTTGAGGTCTCTGTCAAATTCCTTTGCAACTGCACAAATGTTTCCATATCTCTCTCTCTCTCTCTCTCTGTCATTCCCTGCATGACAGTGACAGTGTATCAGAAACCAGCCCATAATATGGTTTATGGAAAAGGTAGGATGAAGAAAGGTGCACATGTGTGTTCACCTGTTTGCTGTGTTGACGGGAGAAAGGTGGTCAAACTTTTTTTCCTGGTTTGTTTTTACCATGTAGATGAAAGAAATCCTGTCTATATATATCATGGTTTATCATAGAGAATCCTCCTCATGATGAAAAAAAGGATTTGGATTATTGTGTTAAAATTTTCCATGGGTCAAATCTCCAATTCTATAAAAGCATGTTGCAGTCAAGACAATTAGAGGTCTGTGCCTCCAGGTTTTGCTTTTATGTATTTCTAAGCTCATCTCAGGCAGACTCTTTCAACTGCAGTGCATGGTAAAAATATGATGGGAGAAGAGGCCAATGCCATTATAATTTCTAATGAAAAAGTGTAAGTGCAGTGATGGTAGCTTTGAATGCTGCACATGGTCTTGAGTTATCACAAACCACGTAGCTCTGAGAAGAATGTATCATTAATAATTTGTAGTAACACATGGCTTCTAATTGATTGAATTCTTTTTTCTGTTTAAAACAAATGGGAAAAAAATACATAATTAATCTCTTTGCAGCTCATGTTGTGTCAGAAATGGCTGTGCTTTTAGGAGGATATTCACTCCTCCAAAGTGTCAAAGCATGTAAGGAGGATGCTTAGCCCAAGACAGACTGCTTTCATCTCTGATAGCCTGATTAAGAGGAAAAGCATGTCTCCTAGATGAGAGATCAGATTTGTTATGCTGAATGGGTGCCAAAGAGAAGAGGACAGCAGGTAACTTACCACGTCAATTATCTGCAGCAAAGAAAGCTGGAGCTCAACTACCAGCGGCTGGGAGTCGTTCACTACCGGACGTTCCAGGCGATTGTAGTTCCTCAGCAGTTCTCTGTACAAGCGTCTCTGGCCTTCACCCTGCTGAGAGACTAGAGGAAAACAAAGAAGGTTTCTGTCATTCAGGCTGGTCACACTGTCACAATGGTTTGTCCGTTTCGTTGAAAACCCTCTCTTAATAGCCTTGTAATTTGAAAGCAGTTCCTAAAAATATGCCCTGAATTCTGCACCTGGTTGTGACATATGCTTTGCTGCACATGTGAATGATGAACTCTTAAAAAAATTAACTACTAACACACTAACTCATCACTATTTATTGAATAAATTCAATAAATTCATAAACTACTGAACAAATTTGGGACAGTGAGTGAATGTCCCCTTTCCTTGGAATCCCTTCTGCTGATGGTCAGTAAATTGTGGCTCCAAAACCACCAGATAATATTTTGCTTTTATTTGCTTGTTCTTATTTCCTAGAGACTGGCTGCTGTAAGCCAGCACTGATATTACTTAGACATACTGTGCATTTACCCAGCAGGTGTAACAGGTATTCTTATTTCTTGGAGCTGATGTATCAGGCCTTTTTTGATGCTCAAGAAACAGTAACAACCCTCCTTCAAACCCCTTTCAGTTCTGTGTAGCAGTCTTTCCAGGCTTTGGAAAGCAGTCTTTCCCTTGGCTATTTTCCTTCTGATGGCAGCACACTTTGTTAACACCTAAGGAGGTGGGGGTATGAAGGCTAGAGTATCTGATGGCTGTGTACAGTGACACTGAATTTCTGGTACTACACACTTAACTCAGTTTCCACCAGGAACAGACTCAACACAGCAGCTGTCATACAAACACCTGAGCATGTTAAAGACTAGCAGAATTGCAGTCTATGCTTAAATTCCAAGATGCTCTTGTTCCCCAACTGCAACTCTTGTTCCAGAGTGGGTGTGAGGAGCACCCATCTAGCCTGCATGACCAGGTTTCCTTCCACGATGGTCGTAGATGGTGAAGGTTTGGATGTCTTCCCTTAGGAAGGCAAGCAGTTTGCTGCAACACGCTGCTCAGGACCCTGGTTCTCCCAGAACTGTGTAGGTGTTGGTGCTATGGCTAGTAGCAGCCTGAGCTCTACCTAAGAGCTGCACATAGCAGAATGAGGGTCATGGACTGCAGGTTCCCTGCAGTCAAACCAGTCCTGTCAGCATGAATGCTTCTTCCCTGAGTTATACAAATTCAATCTCTGGCAGAGAATCTGCATTCTAAATCATTATTACTTTGGACTGAAGCACTTTTTATCCACTGCAGCTCCCGGTCTCTGTGTGTGACTTTTTTTAACTCTTGAGCAAAGCTCTGCACATTGAGAACAAGACTTCTCTAACAGAGGTTATGATGATTATCTTCTTGATGACGCAGAAAACCCATAACAACCAGTTCTACCTTTCCCAGACTCTTACTGTGCTCATCAAACCTTGCAAGAATGAAACAAGCTGCCCTCTAACACAGCAGTCACGTCTTTTAAAGCTAGTAATAAATTCAATTTAAAAACACTTCATAAGTCTGTTTAACTTGTGTTCTCTTCAGTTTTCCTGGTACTCAAGGAAGCCTTGTGGCAATGCTCAGTAAACAAAGAAGAAGAGGATTTTTGTTTACTTTTGTAAGATACATCAACACATCAACTTCTTGAGCCCTCTCTCCTCTCTTGTAATTTACTACATGATCGTGGGCATCCAGAGGAGCATATGTTGTAAGCACTGACTCAAGAGCCCTTGCTGGCACATCGGTATTGTATGCTATGTTTTCACCAATGGCAAAGTCAAGCTCTGGGCACAGTATCTCTCCTTCAGCACCTTAAGTAAGCTTCCCTCCTTACTTAAATAGTGACTTAATTACTCTGTTATTGCCTTAATACTTTCCTCAGCAGGCCTGGACTCCACTATAAGAGCTGTCTGTGGAAAGGAAACACTGCACATGGTTCTCGGAAAAGAGGCTCTGTGTTTGGAGCAAATTTGATGTCCTTTCACTCACATACCTACCCATGTTCCTGTGCTTTAGGGAAGAAATGTCTTCCTGAACTACTGCTCTCATCTTCAGTACTTACATAACATGTGCCTTTAACCTTCCTTTTAAACTGGCTGTCTCAGCTTTTACAAGGGAAAAGTGCCCTTTACCAGTCTCTGGACTCAACTGGGCTGCTAGAGTGCCCTGATACTGTCGCTGTCATGGTGCATTGAAGCAACCTCCCAGGGGAGGTCTGACTTGGAGAAATCTGTGCATAACCCTTTGCTGTATGCTTTGGAAAGCTGTCTTTGCACTGTGTGCTTCAGTCACCTCTTTTCCTGTTATACTTGGTGAGGCAAAGTAGCCCAGAACTGAACCTGGTTTTCCATCCTTTCTTCAACTCTCCCCTCTGTAATGTGATCCTAATACTTTTAAATCTCTTGTATGCAGAATTGTTAACATTGTCTTAGCTGATCTATCCTAAGCCTGCTGAATTGGCATTGGTGACCACATGTTAGTGTGCTGTATGGTTTTGCTTACAAAATGACATAGATTCAGAACCAATGGAGCCTTGGGGTGTCCTGGCAAATAGCTATAGCAGCTGTTGGTACCACAAAGACCTGGCTTGTGTAATAACTGCCATCTCTGTGCTACAGCTGCTCTGGAGAAGGAACCGAGGTGGATATGTATTCTGACTTGTATGTTCATAGACTTTTTCTTTAAATTGCAATCTTCAAATACTTAGTGTTTCATACTCCAGAGAGATTTCTGCTTTTTTCCCCCTATAATGCTTGTGCTAATGCATTGTGACACAACATCTCTGTGTGCTAAATGGAGTGTTTGCTGGTGATGGGGAAGTCTGAATCTCTCAGGAATAGTGGTAGAATAAGCTTTACCACTGACTACCTCTTAGTCACAGAAATTTAACCATAAGCAGTTTTATCTTTTAAGGCTAGAAGATGGATGACAATATTTAAGGTTGCCAAGTTAGTCTCCCAAAATCAATGCCAGACTTACTTGCCTATGTGTGTTACTGGGAAGTAAAAGTAACTGGCAAAGGGTGTGATGGTTTCTGGATAAGGGATCTTTGAGCAACAGAGAGCCTTTATGTCCCACTGCCTCAGACAGTGTCCCTCTGTTTCTGAAATACCTTTGAAGCAGTAGGAAAACATAGAATCTCATTAAAACATGAGGGAAAAGCAGTGTATGATGTTTACCTCAAGTTTAGCAAGACTTTTGACACCGTCTCTGAAAAATCCTCATAGACGTTTGTCTATGCCTTACAGGCTCAATGAGTGAGCAGTGAGGAGGACAGAAAAGTGGCTCAGCTGTCAGGGTTAGAGGGTTGTAGGCAGCAGCACAAAGTTCAGCTGAAGGCCAGCCAGTGGTAGAGTACTCCAGGGGTGGATATTGGGGCCTATGCTATCTGACATTGTTATGAATAAAAGGACAGAGTGCACCCTCAGCTAGTTTTCAGATAGCACGAAACTGGAAGGAGTGGCTGATGCAGCACATTGTTTTGCTGCCACTCAGAAGGATCTTAAAAAAATGGAGAAATGGCTGACAGGAACTTCACGAATATCAATGAAATAAAGTGTAAACTCCTGCACCTGAGGAGGAGTAACCCCAGGTACCAGAATAGGCTGGGGGCTCAGTGGCTACCAAGCTGGTTAGCAGAAAAGCCCTGAGGACCATAAGCCAGCAGTACACCCTTGTAGCAAAGGTCATCTGCATCCTGAATTGCAACAGGAAGATCCACACAAGATCCACAAGTAAAGAGAGGTGATCCTTTCTCTCTACTCAGCACTGGGGAGAAACACCTGGAGTGCTGGGCCCAGGGCTGGGCTCATCAGTACAAACAAGACGTGGAATTACTAGACAAAGGACTGGATTGTGTCTCAAGATTTGTTCTCTAAATAACCTGAAATGGCTCCCTAAACTGCTCCTGGAGTTTGCAGACAACTGGGAGGCACAAGGCAACCAAGTCCCTGATGGTTCTGTGAAGAGCTCTATGGGAAACAGTTATTCATGGAGCACGTTAAACTTTTAAACACCTTTCTGAATTCCCTCCTGTGCTTCTGCATGTGCAAAGAAGTATGTAAGAAACCCACTGTTTGAATGACATGACCTATAAACTGTTACCAGTCTTTTGGAAATACATGCTATAGTTGCACTTCATCCTTCTTTCCAGGATGCAATTGCTTAGAATTGTACAGCAAGGGAACTTCCAGCTAGGCTCTGGCCAGATTACCCATATGGCATCCCCAGGAAGCACAGATGCTCTCTCCTTTCTTAGGAGCTGTGCTGTCATGCCTGGTCTTAGCTGGTCAATCCCCCTGCTTTGATTTGCATGCCAAGGTCCCTGAGCTATCAAGCAAGACTCCAGCCCTTCCAGTTCCCCAGGTCAGATCAAAAAGTGGTCAGCTCCCTGACTGAGAATCCCTGGTGCTGGACACATTCTGGCTTGCTGTGCACAGTTAAGAATAAATAATGAAATATTAACAAGAGGACAGGGGGAATAACATGGATTTTCATTAGATTTTCAGCAATGGTACCTCTCTTAATCAACTATTCCACCTCTGTTTCATACTGTTCCCTGGTACTCTTTTCATAATCTGCCAACTATTTTGTGGGGGGCAGCTGCTAGTTGTTTCCTAGGTGTTGCTCATCTCTTTTGGCAGAGACCTGAGCCTTACACATAAGTTATTATTTTATTCATACGAGACTATTGGTACCTAAAGGACCTGTGGTTTTCAGGTGAAATATCATATTCTTCCTTTATCAGTTTATATTTATACATATGCATGCCAACATGTCTCTGAATTAGAAATTGGTTTTTTCTTCCCTTCTCAAAAACAGTTCTAGAATAATTTTCATATACAATCCTTTTGCAAAATATAGTTAAGTTACAATCACAGCATATTCCTTTTCCATCACATTTTTACTTTTAAATATTTTGTCCTCCAATACTTCACAAAAGGTCTAAACTGCAGTAATACTGTGGTTGTGGCATTTATTCACTCCTCCTGTACCTTCTGGAGGTATTTCACTGCATCTATGTAACTTTTTTCTCTCTGCACTATTACTTCGAAACTTTCCCTTTGTTTTG